TTGGCAACTTTTAAGACTTGTGGACTTTAACTCCAGAATTCCTCCATGAGAAGTTGTGGACCAACTCCCAGAATTCACTGAGGAATTCCACGAGTTCTTCAAGTTGCCAAGTTTGGAGTCCCTTCTTCTAGGCCACCAGAGCTCCAGAGCCATCCATGAAGCCCTGGTCCATTGGAGGTCCCCGGCTGCTGGCATTCAAAAGAGGCCCCTTGTGATTCTGGAGGAAGGAGCTATCAAGGGCACGTAGCACGCAGGGTCTCAGAACCTTCCCTGGGTTCAATCTCTTTGAGAAGTATCTCAATCCGTGGCTAGCATCCCAGCTCCATCTGGTGGCAACTGCATCAGGAAAAACTCTTCTCATAGATTGTCATGTACGTTTAACTAATCAGAATTGTGGATTAAGTCAACTGGCCCCAGCATACCAGGGGAAGGGAAGGGAATAAAAACCCCTTACTTTTTTGTCTTCATCCAACATTTAGGGCTATTAATCTGGAATAAATGGGCACAAACCCTTCTTCCTTTGCTTTGCATCTGTGCTGTGGTTTACTTGGGTGGGGGTCCAACTTTCCCGTTTCTTGCTCAAGCCCACCGCCCCCCAAAAAAGAGCCCCTTTTCATTTCCCTGCGATCTTTCCAGCTCTTTCTCCCCTCCCCTCCTTAAATTAAGCCATCCTAATTATTTTCAGACTGCTTTATCTCTGCTTTGCAAGACTCTGCAGAAAGACAGGCGGTGAGCACTTTCAGCCGCCATAAACAAAGGGACGGTTTGGAAAACAATTCTATCAATTAATCAAATTAAGCCTTGCCGTTTTTCGTTACAAGCCCCAAGTGGCCGGATCCGAGCCCAGAGTGAGAAGTTATCTCTCCCCGACAGCGTTTAAACGTTTCGGTGGCAGTGGTAATAATGAAAGAGATCTGACTGCTGCGACTTTCCTCTGCCGACTCCGAATCTTAGGGATGTGGCCGCGGAGGTCACTCTGAGGACATAAAGAGAGGACCAGGAAGACCCTGGTCTTTACCTGGGAGCCAATCTGCAGAGTTTGGGAAAAGCTCGGAGGGTCCTCCTCCTGGCTTGCTTGCCTGCCAAATGGATGCCCAAAAAAGGGCTATGCAGGAGCCAGATCGGAGTGGGGCACCCCCTGCAAGGAATGCCACCTGGATCATAAGATAATCCTCAACTTATGACCACAGCAGAGTCTTGAATTTCTGTTGTTAAGTGACCTCATTTGTTACGCAAGTTTTCCCCCCCATTTTATGAAATTTCTTGCCACAGTTTGTGGTTTTTTTTAAATCTATGTTTCTTTGTTTTTTAATTTTTCTATTTCTAAATGTATTTGTTGTAAGCCGCCCGGAGTCCTTCGGGATTGGGCGGCCTATAAATTCATTAAATCATAATCATAATCAATAGCAGTAATAGCAATAGCAGTAGACTTACATACTGCTTCATAGGCCTTTCAGGCCTCTCTAAGCGGTTTACAGAGAGTCAGCATATTGCCCCCAACAATCTGGGTCCTCATTTTACCCACCTCGGAAGGATGGAAGGCTGAG